ATCCCTGCAGCCACAGATCTCGCGGAGACCGTGTATGAGTATGGCAATTGCTGAGTTATGTAGCCTAGCGGAACAACAGTACTTTAACAATCAAGGAAATTTTGGTAGCCTCAACCCCGCTTCGGGCCCTCTGCAATTATCCCTCGAAAAGTTTGGAACCTTCTACATCCTTCCTCGCCTTTGCGCACCCCAACCCCACCCCAACCCCCTCCAGTGGTGGGCGGTCCAGTCCAGCCTGCCGTCCTCAAGCTTGGGTATAGACCCCCCTTCCCCCATCCCCTCTCTCCCCTCCCCCCCTAATTCCTCACCCATTTAGGATATATGCATAAATTTCCAGGGGAAATGGGAGGTTGAGAATTTAAGGTTTGCGTGCACCTCCTGCGCCCCTGGCCCTCTCTAAAAGTGAGCATCGCTTTCTGTGCACCCAACAGCCAAGGCGATAGCGTGTACAATTATTTTCTACTTTTTTTTGTGGCGGCTAATGTTGGCAACTATTACAGCATGACTTCTATACGACACTGAATCCCCAACGCGCCCCCGACACCCACTCAAAATCCCCTACACTCTCCCAAACTAACATGGAAACCCCATAGGGGCCCCTTTTAGAGGGACTGTAGTCTTTATAGGGCCCCTTTTTGGGTTTCCATGTTAGTTTCCGAGAGTGTACACTCCAAGCCTGGGCGAAGCCACTCATGAGATTGGCCAGCTCAAAGCGGAGGTTCATCAACGCCCAATCCTTCCATTGGGGTTGGAGTCGGAATATTATATGAGCTTAGGTAATATTAGGGATTAAAATGGGGCTATATGGGGATAATGGGACTGAAAATGGAAACTACCATAATGGGTTATATGAGCCATTGTCTAAACTCCTAGTATCCCCCCTAATAGCCCCTCTACGGTCCTCTATATAATCTTCTATATAACCCCAGTTAAAGTGTTTAGGCAATGGCTCATATGTAGGGTCCTATGGTGGAATGTAAGATGTGGGTCAGAAGTTAGGGGCGCTGGCTTTTAACAAGAGGTTGGTGAGGAAGCTGCGACCGGCATGTGTGTTGGACTAAATCGGCTATATCGGCTTTTCTGCGAGTTGAGGCCATTGCGCGCAGTTTTCCTTACACTGGGTTGCTGTTAAGGAATTTAAGTTAATTTACTATATTCGGGAAACCACATTAATCACTATATATATATATACCCAGTATGAAAACTTATTTCAAGGTCCTTAACAATTACAAGGCTTGCAACTAAGCTGCATTGCCCCGCAGCCTTAACAGGTGTTTAGGGTACAATGTCTACAGTGAACCTGAGACAACCCTGACAAATCCTACCGTAATCGCTACAGTAGTAAGCTGAAACATTGAACTCGTACTCAAACCTGGAATGGTAAAAACAGAGCTGGAAGTGCCTTGCTTCCATACTCCAGCTGATGGGCTTCTACCCGAAACCCTAAACCCTACTATTGTATGATCATGGTTCAGGCTTAAAGCAGGGCCTCGAAGGCGAACTGCGAGAACAGTGGCTCACCTAGCAAGGATGTCTGCTTCAAGCTCTTAACCACTAAGCTCTCTTAGTACCCTCAGTTGGGGTTTCCTGACTAGAGGGTAGTTGAAGAGTCTGGGCAGTGAATACTTCTTATGGTTGGGGATTTAAAGTTTTCGAGATCCCCTCCCCTGATACTGAATACTCCATTGCGGAGTATGCCTTCTTAAGTGGGGTGGGGTGGGGGTGTGTGGTTTTGTTATTAGGAGTAGGGAATAATAAATGCTTTGGCCATACCAGGGCCCAAAGTGCCTGTAGTAACCCAGTTAGACCCACATCACTCCAACGGGTGCACTTTGAGTGCCTGAGAGTACCTACATCATCTCCCCGTAAGATAAAAACACCACCCTAATATCTCAACATTAAATATTCCCCCATATACTATAATATAACATAGGGGGACTAGTCAATATTAGGAGGGGTGAGGAGTTTTCAGTACTAGGGGGAGGGGATTACTAACCTAGTTGACCCCCAAATATCCTTTAACAGCGCATGCTTTGGGCCCAAAGGTCCTACATACTAACCCATTTGGGCCCAGATTATCTACTATTTAGGTACTTGGCCTCATGCCGCCAGCTGAGCCTTACGGTAGATGGACATTCGTAGCCTGCTGCAGTTTACTACATGTCACAAGGGGTATTCTGAAGCCTTTAAGCACAGAAAGGTGATGTTTGAAACCATTAAAAAGGGAAGTGTAGACAGGGTGTTGTCCATCAGCGGTAAGCTAAGCGTTGAGAGAGGATTCAATCCTGAAGCTGGAGCACGAGAAATAGAGTCAGCACAGTGGTCTTAGTCCAAGTACGCCCCTCCCCCTAATATTAAAAAAAACCGCCCAAATATCAAGCATTCCTAACCTATTAGACCATACGACCACGGTAACATACAACAGTTGGATGCCTCTAAACCCTAAACCCTAAACCTGGTTGTGTTTGGGAGTCCTGGAGCCATGGTCACTAAACTGGGTTTAAGGAACTTAAATTAAGTTACTATATTGGGGAAACCCTATTATTTACTATATATATATAATATACCCATTATGGTAACTTAATTTAAGTTTCTTAAAAGCAACCCAGTAAAGCACAAGAGTGAATTCAGCGCCGGGATGGTCACAGCATGGGGAAACGCTTCTGAGCCTGCTAGAGGATGCACTGGGCCTCGTTACCTACGATAGAAGCATAAAAGATTGAATTCAGCCGAACCAGTGGGAACGAGCTGAGATGAAGCCTTCCACAGTCTAGGAACCTGCAGACGCGTGATAGAAGCTGACGCATCTCCTTGTCTCATTTACGGACCGGCACCAAAACACCCAAACTGAATTGCTAGGGCACGGGAGTAACAAGAGGAGAAGAAAGCACGGCAGATATTGTAAACATTAGCAAGCTGCAAAGAATGTCAGCACACAGAAAACTCTGGGAAGAGCTGGCTGCAACGCAGACCTTCTTAAACCAACCTGCTCGCGCTCCCACCCAGCTAGCCGGCCTCCCCCGATGTCCAGCACATCCTGTTTCAGGTTTAGGCTTAGGGTTTAGCCATCAACAAGTTCTGCGACGCCCATTGAAGTTCTAGTCCTTTACCCTGGAGGTTATGCACACAGGCCTCTACAATTTTCGAAACTACCTGAAGCAGCCCAAGCATGGTGAAGCGCATATGCAACGTCAGGGATCTTATTTCAAGGCGGGTAAACGTGGTACCGTACCGCCATGATTATCATTCATGTAGCTGTAGCTATAGGACATGGAGGCTTATGGGGGAGTATGTTTGGGTTTACACTGGGACACCATATCGAACTCTACATTCTACATCCATCCTGAGCATTCCCAGGGCAAAACTGATGATGACACTAACCAAAGGGACTAAATAACTCGCACAGGGCCTTGGGGGAGATAAGACGTTCATCACAGAAGGATGCTACGGTGCCTGTATTACTAACTATTATGTATCTGTATCAGCTCATACGGCATGGCGTGAGCACGGTTTGATGATCACGGCTTTGGCTGATCTCTTTTTCTGATGTACATCTTATCCCGTTGCCCCCTGCTCCCTTGCAGTATCATGGCATGAGGGCACTTTGCTTAGCGCGAGACTGTTATGACTATTGCTATTCTAGCACTTATTGAAGGACAGTTTTACTCCTAACACTTGGTACCTCTCGTAATTGTGCTGACGTGCACGAAAAGGGGGAATGAACCAATCTGAAATCCCAAAGAAAAAAGATCGCCCCCACAAAATATTCCCAATTTCGGGAAGTTGGAAAACCCCACATGTCACTCTGATCAGCTTCGTGCAGTGCAGCTTGTCAGCACGACTTCCTAAAAAACTTGGATCAGAGAATGCGTAGCTTCGACAGTCCAACGCGGGTTTGGATTTACGAAGCAGCCTATAATTTCACTGTATCCGCCTACATGAAAACGACGCCAACAACTATCACAGCCCGGCACTCTGAAACCTTGAGCCCAAAACAGAAACCCTAAAAAAGGTGCCTCAACGGTCGCCACGTCAATTGGCACAAAACCTGGGCTTCCAAAGCACTCTGCATCAGGAATGCGGGCTGCAGCCAGAAATAACCCTAGACCCTAAACCTCTAAATGGTTGGTCGTCGCTGTAAAGGTCCAGCGAAACGAGCTGTGCTGTATGTACTATCACGGTATAAGAGATACGTTTAGGGATGTGGGGTTTAGGGTTTAGGGTTTCTTCGGCCTCCATACACCAGCCCCAGGGTTCCTGACTGGATATTCTTCACAGCTAGGAAAAAAGTTGAAGAGGTCTTTCACGAAATCCTCGCAGTTGTGAATGCAGCGAATACTTGAGATTATACTGGATACTTGACGCAATGTAAAATCAGTGTGGAAGCCCATATAATTCCCAAGATTGGGGTCCTGGATTCTTCGTAAAGATGCCGTATAGGATACCTCAAGCACACCCCAAAACACCCTGGGGATTTAAAACTCAGACCCCTAATGACCCCTACAATAGCCTAAACCCTAAACCT